ACGTTACGTTACGTTACGTTACGTTACGTTACGTTGTTACGTTGTTAGTTCGTTAGTACGTTGTACGTAGTAAGTAGTAGTAGTAGTAGTAGTACGTAGAGAGAGAAGAGAGAGAGAGAGAGAGAGAGAGAGAGGTGCATAGCAATAATTAAACAAGACTCCAATTCCCATGTCGAGATTCACCTTTTCCCAGTACTAGTACAGGAAGAGGTGTGGAAAATGTGAACATATTTATTAGAGGAACCATGTATTTTTAGTAACATGATTCCCTGGCAGAACCATAAGAGAATTTTATTAAAAGGAAATGTAAGCAGTATGAGGCTACATTATGCTAATGAACAGTTATGATACAAAACTTGGCTAAAGAATAGGAAGAATCAATTTCTTGAATGAATAAAATCAATGCAACTCCCATTGACATACAGGGTTAACACTGAGTTAAAATTTCTGCCCCATTCTCAGTGATCAATAATGTATGCTCAAACTGTGCAGACAAGCTGCCGTCTTCTGTAACAACAGTCCAATTATCATTCCACATAATGGGATTAATGCTACCTAATGTCAGCATTGGTTCTGCACAAATAAGACAGTAAAAAATGAGAAGCACATAGAAAGATATTCACATCATGTGGGTAGTCTACATCCAAAGCTACAGCAATAGAATCAAACAAAATTTTAATAATAATTCCCACATGGTATACAATGGTCTACAGCTGCATATGCATACATGAAATTGAACATGAAAAACGATAAGGGGGAGGTAATGAACAAAGAAAGTTCTAGAACGCCCCCAACAGTTATAGTAGCATATACATGCATGTAGGTATGCAAGTATGTAACCGTTATAAAATTGGAAAGTTGACTTCAAATAGTCGACGTAATCCTATTCAAGTGGGGACAAAATATAGTTCACTTTTAATGTAAATAAAACCTTAAAAGGAAGAGCTTAATAGGATTCGTTTGAAGTTCACACGCTTCAACTCCATGAATGTCGGATTCACCGAGTTTTTAACTAAGTCAAAACTTAGTTGAATTGGTGAATTTAAACTTTGACAATAGATTTTATAAAATCACATTTCACAGCCTTTAAAGGTCCTAGGTGTCAGGTCAAATTAGTATGGTTGAGTATAAGACTATTTGTGTTTTTGAGATAAGGTTGCGTATGAGATTATTCATAACAAAAAATGAAGTCCTCATAGACTTTCCCATCATTTATGCGACAGTTTCTCAGAAAAGCAATACAAAACATCACCTATGAGATTGTCAGAAGTAGATCTCTCAAAATTAAGTTAAAACCATTGGAAACTCCCAGGGCGAACACAATTGCAGAAAATGCTCCATCAGAAATGTATGATAGTGACTAATACCAATTTCATACAATAAGAAGCTACTTAAGTTTACTAAAATATGTAACTAATGTTTAGGTACCGATTGTGAAGGTCTGACCGAGCACCATTCGTCCACGATCATTATTTCCTGCAAAAGTAATTTGTAATAAAGCTCATGAATAAATCAAGCTCAAGGAAGAGAGAGAAAACTATATAAATCAAATTATTTGGAACTATATTAACACGACTAAATTCTCCCAGTTTGTAATTGTTAACCTCAAATCGCATGCCTGGCTATAAAATTGAAATTTATCACTCAAAATATACAACTGAAGTTGTACATACTGTAATGGAGAATAACAGGATCAGAATGAAAAACCCGTCCCACACCATGGCCAACAAACTGTCTCACAACACCAAAACGAAACTTATCTGCATAATCACTTCAGAAAATACAATTTCTAATTAGCATAGAATACAAACCTTACAACTGTAGAAGATAAAATTATTCGTTGTTAAAAAATTATTTGTAGACCATGGAACTAGAATACTGACTACTTTAAATTGTTATATCAAAGAAATAAAGTATTGGTACCGAAGTAAATGATTAAGAGCACATTTGGTGTGAGGAAAAGTTCTCCCTTTCCCACTGGACACTGCTTTCCCAAGTTTATTTCATGGTAAACCAGTGGACACTGTAGTGCCTGGGGGAAGGCTAGTGTGCGAGAATCGCGCCACTAGCATATTTTTGTAAGAAAGCGCTTTCATATGAATTTTGGTATGAAAACTTTCCTGTGTGATGGGAGCTTTCATATTGGAAAGCTCTCTCCAGGGAGAGCTCCCAATGAAACAAACGTGCCCTAAAGCTTATTGTAGAATGCTCAAAGCCACTTAAGTAATTTAGAAACTAGAGGTGGCAACGGGTTGGGCCATGTCCGGGTCAACTCCAGCTCGAACTTGACCCATCTAGGTCTAACTTGGACCCAGATCCACATCAGGCTCAAGTTGTTTTGACCAGGTTGGGTGCGGGTATAAGAATAAAATAATAATAAAAAATGTATGATATATTTCTATATACAGGGTCGGGTTGTGTTAACCCCGATTAAGACCCAACCCAATCTGATAGGGTCCAAGCAGGACCTGGACCTGGACCCGGTAAGGGTTGGATCCCAGTCATTTGGACCCAGACCCGACATAGCCGGGTCCAACAGCTGGACCCAAATCCGGAACTGGTTCAGGTCGACCCACAGATCCACCTGATTGCCACCCCTATTGGAAACATGTCTGAACACATTGCGTAGGAAAGGCTGCATGCATGTGATTATTATTTTTATCAGTATCCCAACCGAAATATAAACTTTTTTTTTTAATTTTGGAAGTTTCTTTCTCCTTATTGTTACTTTTAGAAGTTTTGTAACTGACATTAACAATTATAGAAACTCACATAATGCATAACAATCAGAGAAGAGACATCATAAATTCAGAATTGAAATCCAAGAAGGAGAGGAAAAATTAGAAAGAAGCAGTAAATAAAAGGTTGCTGACTGCTATTCTCGTCCTCTAAAGTTCTTGCATATTCAATTTATCATGCTAAAATACAAGCTCAGGAATATGAGTTTCGTGTACTTGCTGCTCTGCCCCTCTCTTAAAATCATGGATCTTACTGTGGATGATTGTAGCAAATCCAACGGATGATTTAGCAAAGTAAATTCTTCAAATGAAAAAGAGACTCTGCACAAAGCCAGAATGGGGAAGTCATAAACGCACCTCTTCCCCTATTTTGACATTATTGAAGAACATAATGTACAGTTTGCCACCACTAAGAAGCTTCCTTCAATATTTTGCACTTCAAATCAGTTCCGTGATGTTTCATAGATCCCAAGATAGATAGTACTCAGGCAAACAAGAAGGGTATGGTGTAGAAAAAATTTTCCTACTCTTCACACAAAATATAGGCAGATATCAGAGAAGGCACTGAAGGCAGCTAGGGGAAGGCAGACTGAACATAGAAGGCGATGGCAACTGCTAATCATCTTACTCTGAAATTAGGCAGGTTGTCTGTTGTTGACAAACACAAAAAGGTGAGGAACCACAGCAAAGCCACTTAAAGAGCGTGCCTGATGGCATCTTAGCGTTTTCCGTTATTCTTTTCCTGCTCTTTTCTTTCCCCTTCAGGTCAAGGAAGGACTTTGTGGGATAGAAGAGACTAAAACTGCAAGGTGAAATATCCAGCACAGTAAATGTACCTTCATTGATAACCATAGGACTTCATAGAGCATCATTTTCGCACAACATCGATGCAAGTGAAATTAAAGCAACAGAAAGACCACAGAAAATTAACAAAACCGAACATATATGGTCTACATAGAAGACTTAAATCTACCAACCATTTCAGGACATCACATTTTTGGACTTTCATAAGCAACCCACAGAAGGAAAAACTAAGGGAAAAAAAGATCATACTGTATTGTCTGGCCAATTTTCTTAAATTCCACACCCGGTCCACATACTGATATTGCCTTATAGAGACACTCCCTCGTCACCTGAATAACGGCCATAAAACCATATAGTATGTCAGACGCATTAGGAATGAGATGAGCAGCCTAAAAAAAGAGAGCATCATCAATATCAAGAAATAAAGGAACCATGAATCCCAGAGCCCTAAAATTAAGGGAAGGATGAATTTAGTAGACTGCTCGATGTAATCAAATATCATAGAAGAAACATGTTCCACTTGTCTTCTCTAATTTCTCTTTTTGTTGTTTGTTTGAGGGACAGGTAAAGCTCTCAACAAGCCAGGATCATGCCAGGCCAGCCCTGCCGTGGGCCCAGCCTGAAACAATGTAAGGCAGGCCCAGGCCTGGCCCAGGAACCAAATTAGTTTTGATTCATGAGAACGAGGCCCGAGCCAAGCCTGGAACAGAAAAATTTGGGCTCAGCTGAGCTAGACTGGGCCCAAATATAAATATGGTAAAAAAAAAAAAAGCATAATATATATGTAATATACATTGAGAAGTTTTCAGACAGGGCCAGTGCTAGCCTAGCCCGAAATTATTTCAGTCCACCAAGCCTGGTTCACAGGCCTTAACACATGGCCCAAACCCTGCCCAAGAACCAGCAGGCGGGCCCAAAAGCCGATGGCCACCCGGGGCTCGTTAACAGCTCTAGGGGCCAGAGATATTTGTGTTTAGTTTGCTAAGTTTGGATGAGGCACAAACGTTGTTCAAACCATATACCTTCCTTCACACATACTGAACCATCCAAGCTTTATCGCCATCAGTGTACAACAATAGTCGTAGTGGAGAGATCTTGTAATAGAAAATTTGAAAATCAGGCCAAGTTATCATAATAGTTGAATTACTAAAGTTTAAAATCTTTTTGCATTTTGAAAGGAATACAGCCAGGCAGTTAGTAATGCTGTAACACGTCAAATCCTCTCTATTTGATTTAGGATATCAACTATCCAGGTTAAAATAATTGGAGTCCACTTATGCTTTACATCCTGTTATTTGCACTTCTCTTTTTTAGTTTTACATCACGAAAGTTTAACCCGTCCCAGGCTCCGATAAAGAAGGTGGTGTTAGGTAGGCAGCCAACATAAAACTTTGCCACCTCTTATCATGATAGCCGACCCCAAAACATTGGGATAAAGCTTGGATGATGATGATGATGATGACATCACAAAAGTTTCTATAATTATAACGAATTTGCAAATACAATGACAAAAGGAATAGGGATACAAGGCTGACAATAATGGCACCCTATGTAATACAACAAAGAAACACGCCCATTAAGGTCCGGCACCCAAAGTATTTGAAATATCAACATACTCATCGCAGCATCTCGGTTTTTCTCATCTAGTAATCTTTACATCAGCTCTAGCTTTTTAGAAGTAATAATAAATTTACATCTTTCAATATATGGAGGAAAAGAAGCAGTATACTTTCCAACTTGTGTACTAATGACTTATGATAGAGAGTATAGAACTTGCTGGTGACCTCTGACTGTGACGGATGGATCCACCCCATGGTTGTGATCGGAAGGTTCTAAAGGCCCTTTGGGTACTTCTGATTGGATGGAAGAAGCAGCCAGAGCTCTTCATTTGGGGCTCAGAGTCTTCTCTCAGTATTTTGGGTTTATTATGGCAAAAGATCAGATCCAAAACATGATGTGGATGTTACGTCATTAGATGCATGTCTTCTACTTGAATAGAATTGGATTAAAATCAAAACATAATGTTTGCTTGAGTTCAATAAACCAAAATAACGATGGCTTTAGTTCAATAAACCACTTTATGCTTTTTAAGATTATTTTGGTGCTTTCCATTTTCTCAGAATAATCAAATATTCCATGGATATATAGTGTTTTATAAGAAACTTATTTTTTAAATTACAATTTAGAAAAAGTCAAAGATGTCTTTCTGACTCAACATGTAGAGTACAAGTCGCATGTCTTTCAACAACAAAAACAATAGTTGCGGAGATCTTGGTCAAGGGGTGGCATTCCCCTCTTGGAATCTCAATCCGGCAATTTGGGAGCCCAAACCCAAGCGGTACTTGCTTCCTCCCATAAGGAGATCTCGATCCCTGCCTATTGGGATCTCGGTTCCTAATGTTAAGGGATCTCGATCCTTGATTGCAAAGGATCTTGATCCTATTGATGGGCGATCACAACTCCTAGAAAGATGGATCGCGTTCCGAATATGACGGGTCAATTTGTAGGACTTGTATGAATGTGCTTATTACCATTGATGGTAATGAGTTTATAGTCCATGAGAAATCTTTTAGTAATACTGATGTTGATGAGTTTATAGTCCATGTCCTCTTTTGTTTTTTTTTAGTAAATCCATGTACTCATTTCAATTATGGAGCATTGCCCATGACAAATCTTATAGTTTTACTATCAGACTATCAACATTAATTTAAATAAACTTTATCAATGTATTTAAATCAATTTACATATATGCTAATGAGTATACACTCAATGAACTCATTTCAAACATGTAGTATTGTTCATGAGACATTAATTTAATTCCATTGATTAGAATACTAAGGATATGGCTTTTTAATTAATAAAATTTCATACATTAATTTTTGTAAACAAAATGTCTTACATATCTTTTTATAGTTCCTACAACTGACGATTTCTTTTATTTTATATTACTTAAATGCGTTTGAAAGTAATGGCAGTTTTCATTTATTTATTTATTCTCAAAAAACAAGTTCTTTTTTTTTTGTTGAGAATAAGTTAACTTTATAAATAGTAAAAGAATTTTACAATAGAAACAAAGAAGAGGCAACCCACAATAATGGGCGCTCAGAGTACATAATAGAGAGAGAAGATGAGATAGGGAGTTGCAGCCCACAATATTGGGTAATCACAGTACATAATAGAGAGACAAGATGAGAAACGGGGTTAAGGAGAGAAACACGGACAGAAAACAAGTGAGTAGAGAGGGAGAAAAAAGCAGGTTTTAGAGACCACCATTATAGTCTATGCATGGGCATCTTGCGAGGGATGGTAGCAGCACCAACACAACCTGAGTAGCAGATAAGGCGCGGCACTGTTTAGGCAAGTCATGCAGCACCGACAAAACCGAGCAGCATATTTAGCGTGGCACAGACTTCTAATGTGAGGCAGCAAAATCTCCGACAAAAAGGAAAAATGACGAAGAACAAAGAGCAGACAAAGATATAGAGGTAGAAAGGAAATGGAAGAAAGAAGAAAGAAGAGAGAGAATAGACGAAAATGGACAGACAGAGAGAGGAAAGAGGGGAGGGAAGAGAGGAGAAAGGGAGGTTAAGGGTAAAATGGGAAGACTTCTTTCTTCCTCTATGTCCTATATCCCCCTATCTTTCTTCTTCTTCTTTCTTTTTTACTCCTTATGAATTTCATGATTAAATTATGGTTTATAGCACAAAAGTTTTTATGGATTTCATAACTACATTTATGTCTTTCATCTCTTTAAAAGTTAATTTAATATCATTTCAAACATCTCACTTCAAAGCTTTCTTAGATAGAGTTCTTGATTTTTTTAATCATTAAAATGTCATAGAAATGTATTTTTAATCAAAATGTCTTATCTATTCTATTTATATTTTCTACAATTGATGATTTTTATTATATAAGCAATGAAGTAGTGATACTTTTTATTTAGTTATTTATTATCCAAATTTTCATAAAAAAAATTTGGATGATATTTATTAAATTTCATACTTACCTTCATGTCTTTTGTTCGCTAAAAACTTAATTACATATCATGTCAAGCATTTAATGCATCTCTCTTCAATTCTTCCTTAAATCAATTTCTTGATTTTTAATTATTAAGATTTCACAGATTATATTGTTTTAAACAAGATGTCTTATTTATCTATTTATATTTTTTATAATTGACGAATTATTTAATATATTTTCCATTTAATTTTTTTATTCTCTTAATTTTCATGTCAAAATTTTAGATGATACAAAATCTATTATTGCATTCTGTACTTACGTTATGTCTTTCAATTATTAACAAACTTATTTTGCATCATTTCTAACATTTAATGCATCTCACTTCAAATCTTTCTTGAACATATTCCTTGATTTTTTTAAATTGTTAACTTTTTACTATAATACTCATACTTTTATTTATAAAGGGTATGGTTTCTATAAGGTATAGACCTTATATACGTGTGTATATATATACATATATATATATATATAGGAAGTATCTACGCAATGCCTATGGGTGAGATGCTATAGTGATCTTGCCCATAGCGCCATCGCCGTCCATTTTTTTAGGACAGCAAGGATTTTTCGACGGCCATAAACATAGCATGTCCGTGACGTACTATCCTGGCGATCGAAAAATCCACGGAACCACCACGGACCACGTGCCGTTCGTTGCGTCTCCATTCAATAAACCGCCACGGACATTGCAAGTCCGTGATGGTAGCGAACACTATTCATTT